GGCACAGCTGCAGGGCTGTGTCCCTGTCTCTGCCCAGCCCCACTGGGGCACAGCTGCAGGGCTGTGCCAGCTCTGGGCTCCTCAAGGAGCCACCAGAGAGGTTCCACAGACGCCACAGAGATGGTGAGGGTCTGCAGCATCCCCTGAGAGACTGCAGGAGCTGGGCCAGTCCAGTTTGGAGGAGGCAGGACTGAGAGGGGATCTCATCAGATGGAATTATCTCAGGCAGTTGCCAAGAGGATGAGGCCAGGCTCTTTCCAGTGGTGCCCAGCAACAGGACAAGGAGCAATGGCCATAAACTGAACACCACAAGTTCCACCCCATCATAAGGAAGAAATTCTTTATGTCAAGGGTGACTGGATCTGCCCAGGGAGAGGTGAACTCTCCCTGTCTGGGGACATTCCAAACCCACCTGGATGCATTCCTGTAACCTGCTCTAGCTCATCCTGCCTTGCCAGGGCCATTGGATATTCTCCACAGGCTCCTTCCAACCCTAACAATTCTGTGATCCCATATTTCTACCCACATCTCACAAGTACAACTCAATAAAGCAGCTTTGGTGCAACTTCCACTAATGAAACATGTCTGCATGTCCACATTCCTGAACATATACACAGAAAATTTTGCAGACATGAAGTGAAGCTTTTCAATGTCACAAACATTTGACTTTATTTCTGGGCTAATGCTCACTTACAAAAAGAAAATGCCAATCCAAGTGTTGCTATTATCTCACAAAAAATAAAGAAACTTACAGGAAACAGATATCCCATCCTGTGGAAGACATTTTCACTAAAGTATAACCTCAGAGCTCCTCAAAGCTTAGGGGAGAAAATAATTTAATTCCTCAAATTAAAAGTTTATGTTGAAAATCATAATAATCTGCATGTCAGGCAGCTGGTGCCTATGCTTAAAATCTTCACTAATCATCACAGCTTAGTGATGAGCACAGAGGAACAGTCTATCTTGGTGAATCCAAACTGGCATAACCATTTTATGCAAGCTCCTGAAATCCCAGCTTTTGGGAAGAATTTGGGAGGAACAATCCGCTTTCATTTCATGAGAAGATGCCTGTACCACACTGAGACAGTGAACAGGCTAACATCTCCCTCACATTCAGGTTTAACTGAATAAATAGATGGAATAGAATCACTTGATAAACATGAGGAAGATCTGAAAACTCTGTGCAAACCAGAGCCACTGGAGTCCCCTGAGCCACAGGCCTGGTTACAGAATGCTGCCACAAAAAGCAATTCCAGTTAATAAAGAGCAATCTATCAAATTCACTGTGAAATAAACTGAAATGAAAGGCATTACTAATTTGTCCTTCCAGTGTTGCCTTGCATCAGAATTAAGACAGTGACACCATCACCCTCCAGCACTAAAAGCTGTTTCCAGCAACTCAAATATACTCTGAGTAATTAAAGAACACAATGTGCTGAAACCTTCAGTACTTCAATAATAGCACTTTTCACTAACAGGTTGAGGCAGAAACATCAGCTATTTTTGAACTGAAGCTCTGAGAGAGTACCTACATGTGAAACATTTCAAACAGGGGCCCATTCTTGCTACAATAGAAAATGCTGTTGACTTCAACAGAGCAGAATTGACCTAGAGAAGCTGGAAAAACACAAAACACTTCAGTCCTACAAAATCTATGTGAACTAAGATGTTTCTGAGAGAGCAAGGAAAAGAGCCTTAGAGCACACAGATTCTGCCAGAAGCAGGGCACAGTTTGCCTGCTGTGAGAGGGGAGGAGAGGTGGAGGTCCATGGTGAAAGCCAAGTCAGTAAACCCCACAAAGGGCTCAGAGCCTGTTTGGGGCAGGAGGAGATCGCCAGGGAGGGAGAGGACCCTCAGCACTGGGACTGCCAACCATGGGGTGGGAAAAGCCTCTGCAGAAAGGCACAGGTGCCACAGGAGTGGGTAGGGAACAGGAGGTGCCGTGCAGCCTTCTCCTGCAGGGACAGCACAGCACATGGAGCCTGCTCCTGGTGCGAAAGGCACTGAAATGACACAGCTGAGAGCAGAGAGAGCCAGGCTGGGCTGTGTCTGAGGGCCCAGAGCTCCCACCCTGCCCACAGAGCAGCTCTGCCCCTCTGAGCCCTGCCCTGCTCAGCCTCCCCACACAGGGTGGTGCAAGGATGGAGGAGCAGAGAACCTCCAGTGCCAGCCAAACAAACACTGCAAACACCTCCACAAGTGGGGCTGGCCATAAACTTTTACAACCTTTTGGCTGGTTTAGGAGGGAGGGAGTGGGTGGCAGGCAGGGGAGGGCGGCACAGCTCTCCAGTTACTCCAGTACAGTTTATTATTGATGGCTCTCAGAGCAGTGTGAGAGCAGATGGGATCAATACACCAACAGCACAGCCCACCAGAGGGGACTCCTGTCACAGGGGCCTCGCACAGAGCACCAAAAATCACACAAAAATCACACAAAGCTATTTTTGTAATGTCACTTGGGACCTCAGCATAGGAGACATATGGGAGTCTTAAACAGGGAAACAGAAAAAACATCTCTGGAGTTGCTACTGAGGGGAGGGGAATTGAGGGCAAGCACACCTTGTGCACCCAGAATCAAATCCAAGATAAAGATGTGTTGGGCCACAGGATAGGAACCTGAAAGAGCTGTTCACATTTTGTACAGACAAACAAAACAGCAACCCCAATCAAAAAGTCATCCCCGGGGTTTTAAAATGAATAATTTCACATAACTGAAGAAAATTTTACTGAACTAGTTGGAAGAGAAAATGTACAAGGAAAAAAAAAACAGGACTGAAAATAGACAGTTCTTTAAAAGGAATTCATTAGAAGGCTGAAAATTCATGTTTCTGCAAGAAGGCTGTTGTAACTGAACCCCTGCTGATCAGTAACTGTATAGGTCAGACTAGATGTTCACAGTTAAATTTTTTAAATTGTGACATAGGAAATGCTATTTTTAAGTTATTCAGAAAATGAGGAGAAATGGTGCATTTGCATTAGACAAAAGAGAAAGGAGATATTAAAAATGTCACTTCCTTGGGTTGAACACAAGTCAGACCACTGAACCTATCTGCACCCATGAGCCCTACAAAGCTCTGGGTTGTCAATGCCCATGGTGCAGCAACATTCCAGAAACCTGGAGGAAAGCCAAGTGCTCCTTCTCCAAGGACATGTGCTGCACACACAGCCAGGAAAGACAGCTGGGGCAATGGGAGCGGGTCTGGTGAGGTTTTGTTGACTTACCACTGAATAACTCTGAACAACAGATAAGGATTTTACAGCTTCAGTACTGTGAGCACTAGGTAAAATAAAACTGGTGGTAGATCTAGAAGAGGTTACAGGAGGATAAACATCAGTCTCAACACACACCCTCAGAGACCAACAGCACTGGTCAACATCCCAGCCTAGGAACAAACATTAAAATTGCCCATTAAACCTTGCAGATTAGCCAGGCTATAAACACCAAGGGCAGAGTGTGGGGTGTGCTGGGGAGTGCTGGGCAGCCAGGGAATGTCCCAGGGGATGTGCTGGGCATTCCCAGGCAGGCAGGGCTGTCCCAGGGGATGTGCTGGGCATTGCTGGGTAGGCAGGGATTGTCCCAGGGGATGTGCTGGGCATTCCCAGGCAGGCAGGGAATATCCCAGGGGATGTGCTGGGCATTGCTGGGTAGGCAGGGATTGTCCCAGGGGATGTGCTGGGCATTGCTGGACAGGCAGGGCTGTCCCAGGGATGTGCTGCCCTGCAGCCAAGCCAGGAGCCTCACATCCAGGAATCAGGAATGCAGCCACGGCTGGGAATGCCAGGCTGGATCTGCACCAAACTTTGACACTGCAGAGGATGCTGAGGTCACAGCAGGTAAGCAACTCTGCAAACATTGGGGATAAAGGGCTAATGCGATTATGGGATGTACAGAAAGAGAAACAGAGCAGAACTGGAGGAGATTTTATCTCCTTACACTGTAACTGTGCGTGCAGTGTATAGTCTTAACATTATGCTTAAATTCTTCAGTCTCTTTTCTAAGCATGCAGCAAAGACTGGCTTAGACTGGAGAAAAATTCTCAGCAAGGGACTTAAAAAGCTTTATCTGCTTAGTTTATCAAAAGGTAAATTCAGAGGGGGTGGTTCTCAGTGTGTTCAGAACAAAAAGGGTTCAAGCACTAATGAACCCTTTAACAGAGAAAGCTTCAGCTATAAATTGCTCACAACCTAAGCTAGATAAATTCAAGGAAGTAATAAAGTGTGACTTTTCTCAACAGTAAAGGCAATTAACCTTTAGTTTAATAATGGTACAAGCAGTGTAAAGTAAAAGTAGTGAATTTTCAGTGTTATAAATCTTTACATTAAAACTTGATACTGCATGAAATATTTGCTTCAGGTGAATGCAAGTTTCTGGGTCTGGGCAAAACTCATAGCTTATTCTAAGAGATTTAAGGATCATCTTCTAGTTTTTAACTCAACAGATTTATAATAATAACAGGAAAAGAACTGCATAATCTATTGCTGCCACTAACATCTGCATAACCCTTCTTTGCTGGAGTGAGGATGACAGATTATAAACCAGATTGTGCTTGAAATGTTGAGAGCAGTTGGTATTGAAGGCAAAGCAGAGCTGCAGCTCCCCTTGGGCATATACTGTATTTGCAGGGAACCCCTGATGAGGGGGAGAGAGAAATGATGCATCTGACTCCATCTTATCAGAAGGCTAATTAATTATTATACTGTATTATTCTATACTATATTACATTACATCTAAACTGAATCTGCCAAGCACTCAACTCTGCACACTCTGCCCAGAATCTCGTGACTGTCAGCCCACACACACACACACCTGGCCCTGACAGGCCAAGGAAACAAAACCCCATCACTCAGGGTAAACAACCTCCACATTGCATTCTGCTTTGGCACAAACACAGGCACAGCAAATGAGATAAGAATATTCTTGGGAAGAGCTGTGCCTTGCTTTTCTGTGTGCAGAGCAGTGTGGGGCTGGAGGCAGACAGGCAGAACTCACTCAGAGATGTGCACGAAGATGTCGGGCCCTCCGTCGGCGGGGGTGATGAAGCCGTGGCCCTTGGAGCGGCAGAAGCACTTGCAGACCCCTTTGTAGATGGGCCCCTCCGAGGCTCTCACCGTGCTGCAGGAGGAAGCACAAAGAGCAGCTCAGGGCTGGGCACGCTCCCACTGCCACCAGGCATGCTGGGCAAAGGCACAGTGGCCAAACCCTCCCTCCCTCCCTCCCCGTGAGCTCTGCAGCAGCGCCCGGCTCTCACTGCCACACACTGCACTGCCGGGGCCTTTGGAAGGGACACGCAGATGAAGATGATGTTTGCTAGCACTATAATGCTTCAATTGCCATCTTGAATTGAACTGCTCCATCACTGGATGAAGTTTTCCTCCAGACAACATACTAAATGTGAGAATCTTCCACTTCCAGACACCATCCTGCCTTTGCTTCCTGCTTTCCAGAGATGTTATCTGAATTACTATCTCAGCAACTCCTCTGCCTCCATGCTTGCCAGCTAGCAATATTACTATTCACTGTATATTCACTACAGCAAGCATATTTTGTGTTTGTTCTAAAGATGGGTGAAGTGAAATATGAATCTGAGAAAAACAAAACCTCATCACACCAAAGAGCCATGACATTTCCCTAGCACAATTATTTCTACCAGGTTGAGAACTGTCTGCAGTAAGCACAAGGATGCAGGGCTCCCTTGTACCCAATCAGTTAAAAAAGAGAAGTAGCTCCACACAAGTGTTATCAAACACCAAAACAAATAATCTCTGCTAAATGTATGAATCTTCTACTTTTCATGAGTTTGGGAATACCAGTGTCTACCTAAGTGCTGTGCTTTCACAGATTTCACAGGAAGCGTGAAGCCAGCTGTAGTGCAAACAGCCAGACTCATGCCTGAGCTCCTCCTCCACTGCCAAGGGACCTGTATTTTAAATGAGACTCATTTTCAGAACCTGCAAGCTGCAATACTGCCATCAAAAAAAAAAAAGGCTTGTCCTGAAAATTGTGTGGTTAAATCCTTTTCTGCATCAAATACACTGATCCAGGGTTTGGATCCAGGGATCCAAGCTCACTCAAACACTTCCATTAATGAAAACCCACTGGTTTAGACATATTATGGGTTTTACTCTGAGCATTGCTAGGTCAGAACCTTCTTCATGCCAGGAACATCCAGTAGGTTCCACGTTAGAAGAGGATTTTGTTGCAATTTTTCAAACACAATGACAGTGCAGCCATTTGTTTGTGTGCATCATGGCAACTTGGACATCATTGTCCCAAATGTTTAAATTTTACTGAAGTCTAAATGAAATTGTTTTTAAAAAATGGTAACAGCTTTGTTCCTTAAATCAAACTAACAATAAAGAAATGCAGTTGAAAGCGCTAAAGAAAGAAATCTCCATTAAATCACTTCATTTCCAGCTCTATAAAGCTGTCAACACACCTGACCTCATAAGTGCTTGTTACACAGAAAAGCACTCACTGTCCTAAACAAGCTATTAAAGTTCAATTGCATCTTTCAAAGAGATATGGCACTGTGGGGGATGAGGCCCCCCACTCTCAGTGAACCAAAATTAAATAATCCCACTGAATAATAAGCCACTGCCTGTCACATTTGTCTCTTTATACAACTGCTCACCTAGAGCTCGTTTAAAGAGGACACACACACAAAAAATTCAGAGCTATTTTGGTTTTCAGGACAAACAAATACAGCAAGATTCCTACACTAATTAATGATTAAAGAACTGTGGAAGCCAAATAACAAATTCTTTCTTTTTGTAAGAACCAAACTAAGATTAACAGCTGAGAAGATTTACAAAGAGTTCATTATTAACACAGCACTGAAGCAAGCTAGCTTGGACTTGCTTTTCAAGGGCAACCCCAATTATTAAGTCAATTATGTTCCTTTCAGCAATCTACTTCCATCAGGAAGTTCAGGGCATTTGAAAGCTTTTGGAACTGACAAAATATAAACTTTTTTTCTGCTTCTCTTCTTTTTTTGCCTCATTTTGAATTCAGAAGTAATAATATGAAGCATCAGTGAGACTTATTATTTAAATCCTCATGGATAACTCTGGAAGAAAAGAGCTGGATAACACTGCCAGAAGTAAAAGGGGAAAAGCACAGAAACCAGAGTGAGTGGCCCAAAACAGGCTGGCTGTGGGGCAGAGATCTTACTGCCACAGCTTTCATTCACTGCCAGACCTTCCTCACACAGAAATAAAAGGCTGTGGCAGAAGCTTCACATTGCACCCAGATTCAAAGGCTCTGAGATGAACACAGGAGCCCACCTTGCCTTCCTCAGGTCAGCTCCTCACTGGGAGGCCCCTGACAGGCACTGGGAGTTCTTTGCAATGGCCAAACCTGGCCACACCATCCTCAGCTGCTGCACTGGGGAGGGGATCCCTCTGGACAGGGCTCACAGGAGCCTGCACAGCGCCATAGGACCCCAGGAAAGACCAGGGAAAGCCAGCTCTGCTGAAAGATCACTACTAAAAGCAACAAATATTACCTTGCTTCATGGAAAACCTCACTCAAAAAGCCTTAGAGAAAGAGATATGGGGTGACACCCTGATAACCCATATTCTTTAACAGGTCTATTTGAACAATCTTAAGATGAAGGCATGAAAGGTGAATAAGAAAAGGAAACAAGGAAATAATAAATAACCTTACTGAATAATAAGCCACTTTCCTCTGAAAAGTGATGGAGCATCCCTAAAATGTACCCTTGATGACATTAGCACAGGTGTCAGGAGTAAAAACCCAAAACTTCCAGTGAGGTTTGGTCCAGTGCCTCAGGGGCAGTGAGAAGGGAGACCAGGCCAAAAAAAAATCTGGATCTGAGAAGGAAGCACCAACACAAACTGGTCCTGGAAGCGACAACTCAATGTCAGAAGTGAAGCAAAGCTTCAGACAACAAACTCTGTTTTGATAAATCTTGGTGTATTTTCCCCTCTCTGTAAAACTTTTGTCTTAAAGAGCCAAGTGACTTCAAACATCCTTTTCTAAAACAGAGCATTGAAAAACTGTAGGACATTTGGACAAAGTCCAAAGGCATCAGAACTTCTTGGAGAAGAGTGTCACAAAGCATCTTCAGACACCAGGCCCCCTCCAGCCCTGTGCAGGGGCTGCTGGTCGTGTCCTGTTACTGCTGAGTAAGAAATGACACAGATTATTAGAAGGTTGGTTTGCAGAACAGTAGTTTCAATATGAAAATTCTCTCCTTTTATAAATAGATTTGACATATTCTACTTGATTGGTTAATTAATAAAAACATTTTTCTTCTCTTCTTTTATAGATAGTTAAAAGAATATTGCAATTCTTTTATGGATAGATGTGAAAATTCTCTTCTTTTATAGATAGGTTTGATATTGGTTGGTTCTTTTATAGATAGTTAAAAGAACATTGCAATTTTCTTCTTTTATAGATAGATACGAAAATTCTCTTATAGATAGGTTTGATATTAATTGGTTCTTTTATACATAGTTAAAAGAATATTGCAATTCTCTTCTCTTATAGATAGATATGAAAATTCTCTTCTTTTATAAATAGGTTTGATATAGGTTGGTTCTTTTATAGATAGTTAAAAGAATGTTGCAATTCTCTTATTTTATAGATAGGTTTGACATTGGTTGGTTCTTTTTAAGACAGTTAAAAGAATATTGCAATTCTTTTATAGACAGATATGAAAATTCTCTTTTTTTATAAATAGGTTAACATTGATTGGTTAATTAATAAAATTTAGGAAAGTATTAATTAATACTTTTGTATTAATTAAGTTTGTATTAATTAAAAAGTATTAATTAATAAAATTAATACTTGACTGGTTAACTAATAAAAACATTTTATTTTATTTATTGTGAGCCTGCCACAATCTCCCAGCAGCTACGAAGCCAATAGTCCACACCTTCATTAAACCTCCAGCTGGCTCAGGCGTGCTTACAAACACTTTTTGAAAAGAACAGAAACAGAGCAGGGAAACACCACTTGTAGGTTGTTTACACCAATAAGTTATCATGGTTCTAACTCTGTAGAAGTCCCCCAAATGCGCGGTGAGAAGGGGCATTTCCCGCTCCCAGAGCGCCCGGCGGGCGGTACTCACGCCGAGAAGGTCCGCGTGCGGCGGGTGGGCAGCGGGCTGGGGATGAGGTAGCCGCGCAGCGGGGACGGGGAGCGCTCCCGCGGCCGCCGGCTCTCGGGCAGGTGCAGCGAGCTGGGCGGCGCGGGGCCGGGGCACGGCGGCGAGGAGGAGGAGGAGGAGGAGCTGGGCTCCGCAGACATTCCTGAGGCCGGAGCAGAGCCTGGAGAGACGAGAGATCTGATTTAGCCCCAGACGGGGATTGTCATTAATGCTACAGATGCTTGCGATGCTGATTTTGTAAGAGCGTGACTCACTTCCTGCAGACGTACACACGGACACGGCTCCACCAGCTCTGCTGTGTATCAGTGAGCTGGTGTTTTGTAAAGTTTATTTCTTTTGAAATGTCACCGTTTTGTCAGCTGTAGTAGGAAGCTCCTCTGCAAACAGATTACTCCACAACTAACGTGTTTGCTCACTCCTGCCTTACTCACAGGCTCTGAGCCCCAGCTCCTGCTCTTGGTGTGCCCCACACACCTCCCACACTGATGGGCCTTGACCACAGAGGAGTTGCGCACAAACACACACCACAAGAAAGAAGCCCTTGAAGAAGAAATGCTGAGATAAAGCTGCACCTCCAGTGCTGCAGGTTGGTTTTGCTGTGTGATCACCATGATAACTTCATTGCTGCTGCTGCTCACTTATTAACACAGCTCTGTCAGCTCATAACACCTCCAGCCTGACTGTGAGTAGAGAAGCAGAGGAGAGCTCCTTAATTCCCCTCAGACTGAGCCAGCCAGCTGATTTGCTGTGCCTGGGAAGGAGCACAGCAAAGCTGGGAGGCAGTGCCAGCCCTGAGGAGCTGACCCCTCCTGCCGGGGAGGTCTGGCAGACCCAGCAATCCCCTTTGGGAGCTCTGAGCCTGCCACAACCTCCCAGCAGCAAGGAAGCCAACAGTCCACACCTTCATTCAAACCTCCAGGTGTGCTCTTGCTCAGGTCCTACAGCCCAGGAGGGAGAAGATGCTCTTCTCAGCACGCCAACAGCAATACATCTCATCACACAACAGGCAGAACTCCCAGAATCCATGCAAGGGGCAGGGTCAGAAACAGCAGCACTTTCACACACACAAATGCATGGCTCGCAGCAGCAGTGGCAGAAATAAGAGGAAATAACCAGCACTGCTCTAATATTACTATGCAAGTCCCCAGCCACACTGAAAGGGGAAGATGATTTGCAAAAATAACCAATAACCCACTACAGTTTTACTTAAGAAGACTAAAAATATCTGGTTATCTGGATGAGTTAGCAAAAAATGTGGCCATCTGAGACAAGAAAATATCACGAAGGCAAGAAAAGCTGCCTTTAAGACCAATAATTTAATTGAACTGAAATCTCTCATATCCATTATGCACCCTCCTCTTGACACCCACACTCCCCAGCCCATGAATTATGGAGTGGATCCTTGACATGACATTTGAGAGATGCAGCCTTCTTGTCAATGACAAATCCATATTATTTCTTCCTGAAAATAAAGACTAAAATTAAAAAGGCTTCTTAAGAATGAAGTCACCAGGGAACAAAGGCTTTTGTCTTTAATTGCTCAGGGTGCTCAGAAGATAGAAGTGAATAGTCAGTCATATTCCCTCCTCTACCAGCTTGAGCTTTCCTCACTGTTCTCAAGAACAACTCAGCTAAGAACAAAACCTCAGCTTTAGGGATGGAATTTCAAATATGGATGGTATCTGTCACCCATGAGCTAATGCCCTGCCCAGTGTCACAGCACAGACCAAGATGATAACACCAAAGGGTCAGGATTTTCCAAACTTCCTCCTCCTCAAAATAGACCTGCTGTGCTGGCTGGTACAGAGGAAGTCTCAATTTTCTAAACCCCTCTCCTCTGGACACCTTGCTTTCAAGGAATGTGCTTGACAGGGCAGGACCATAGCCCGAGTAAGTCACAGGAAAAATAACAGCAAACAATTAAAACCTTATTCTGATAACTCAGCACACATGGGCTGAGTGAAAACACAGCTTTTAGAATCACATGCTTTCTCTCCTCATCTAAATATAAACCAGCTTGTCAGGTGACAAGCAAAATGCAGAGTATTCACCCATCTACTGCAATAGAGCCACAGAGTGCTGCCAGTCCCCTTCCTCAAACAAGGCTAGAGAGGCAGAATTTTCCCTCCTTTCTGCAAAACACAGACAAACCACAAAAATATTCGCAAATAAAGAAGACTAAATGGAGTTAGAAGTGTGCTACCATGTGTTATTGTTCCCATTTGTATTATTTTGGTGCCCTCTGCTCCGCACACATGAAATAAACCAGCGATGTAGAACATTCAGTGCAGTGTCACTGTACAAATGTCCTTTTTGTTCTCTGCCCACAGTAAAGGTGCGTGAATAGCCTCAACTCTCATCACTTCTATTACAGGAGCCCTGCATTGTGCTCAGAGCTGGGTGAGACCTGACCCAAAACCACACAGCTGAAGGCAGAGAGCAGCAGCCACACTTGGCTTCACCATCACCACAACCAGTGGGGACATGGGGGATGCAGAGCCATGCTGCAGCTCAGGCTCTACAGGCAGGATGGTGCATCCCTGCCCAGGAGAGTGCACTGACTCATCCCTCTGCCCCTGGGCTTTTCTGCCAGCTGTACAAACCAGTGAGAAGGATGGGAGCCTGACTGACCGAGCTGAACCGTGTGCGTACTGCAGGATGGCAGCAGCTCCCACCTCTATGGCAGAGGATCAGCTCATCTGGACCTTCACAAAGACAAAGGTGCAGCTGGGCTGTCTCAGTTGGTGCTGGTGTGGCCACTTGTTGACGTTGTTCATGCAGGATTAGCTCATTTCCCTTGGCAGCCCTCCTGCAGGAGCACAGACACTCTCCCCACTCGCAGGCGCAGCTGGAGGCCGGGCAGTGTTGACACAGGAAGCCTACAGCAAAAACTCAAAACAAAACAAAACCCACACCCCAGCCCTCCCAGCCACCTCCTCACAAATGCTTTGCCTTCCCGAGGCAGTTACCAGCAGTCTGCAGAGATGTTTCCCAGATGTTATCCTGGGCTCTGAACTGACTCCTGTAAATCAAGGATCACCCCTGGAACTTGGATGGCAGCTCTTCCTCAGCACCCACAAATTCCTTCCTCTCTTTTTGACTCTGTGACTAGCCGAAGAAACTTTCCTGCAGCTCTCAGAAGCCCCCTACATCTCCAAACTGATGTCCATCAGGTTTTCCCCTAAAACCAGGGAAACCCCTGGTTTTCCTCCAGCCCAGCCAGCACTCTCCCCTTGGCCACGGCAAGGACATCACCCCACAAAGCCCAGCAGCAGTGCAGGCACCCCGAGCTGCCAGCAGCACCCATTCCCCTGTGCCAGCACTGCAGAAAGGGCAGCAGTGAGATCCCAGCCAGGCCAGGGAGCAGGGACAGCACAGCCAGCAGCTCTCCTCTGCTTGAGCCAGCAAAACGTGTGCCTGCGGGGATTTACAGAGTGAATGCAGCATGACGTAGGGTGGTGATGTTTTCAGGCTCTTTAGGAAACTCCAGCCACATGCCACATTACCCTGAAATCGCCCCATATTTCAACATGCATCATTTATCTTTCTCCAATGAGATTTTTTAAAAAATATTTATGTTTAGGAATGCACTGAACTGGAATAGAAATATAATTAATTACAGTAACATCATGGCAAAAGTAGACTAATTTAACATTTCAAAGCAAAAATATTTTTTAACATACCTTTTATAGAAAAATAGGCCAATGTGTGCAGAAAGAGACCCCAAAATGTCATCTACAACAAGTGACCTACAAAGCACCTGTAACAAGTGAACTACAAAGAGCACAATACATGCAGGAGAAATTTCTGAAATTCTCCATGAAAAATAAATTTTAAAAGTGATAAGGTTGGGGGTATATAAATGTCACCATAATTTCTCTATACATCTATACATCCTATTTCTCTTAAAGTGTGCCCCATACCTCTAGGAATACCCTAAAAATAGCAGTTTGGGGAAGTTATCCATTCTGACCAGCACAACACTACCACAAAAATCTTATCTCATTTATCTTAGAAATCTTATCTCACTACCACAGAAATCTTATCTCAGAGCCCTTTGTGGCACTGGGACCCCGTGCCAGTGATCCCAGCACTGCCCCTGCACCTCAGGGTGTGAAGCACTTACAAAACAAAAACAGTTACGAAACAGCTTCCAGAGCTTCCCCTTGCAGCTCAGTCTGCATGACTAACTTTCCACAATTAATACTGGTATTTCAATTAGCACTGAAACTCAGAGGAGTTGCAACATGCATGTGACATGTCACAGAGGATTATGGTATAGGCATGATGCTCTTGGAGGCTGCAGAGTGCCCACACACTGGAGTGATTTGTCACTTAATGAAGACCAGGACATGTCCAGTAAAAGCCTAATTATAAGGTAAGCAAAATACACCAAGGAAAATTTCTCTAGCGTGTTTGGGTGTACAAATTAATTTGGATTGAAACAGGGTTTAGTTTACAAACAGCAGCAGCTATTTCCAAGCAGTCTCAGCACTGAACACTTTGTGCCCAGATGCTGGGGGTGCCCTTCTGCTCCTGCAGTGAGCAGTGTCTGTGTCTGTGTCTGAAGGAAACCCTGCTCAGGCAGCACAAACCCACCCTGCCCAGCAGTGACCACAGAGAGGGATGGGGAGGAACCCAGTCAGCAGCAGCCTATACAGCACACTGACAGAGATGATTGCCTGCAGTCCCATGTTTTCCATTGTTCATCAAAGCTCAAAAAGAAAAAAGGTTTAGATGAAGGAACTGGATGGTTAGTCAGGTTAAGTACATGTTTCAACTGGTTTAGGATTATCCTGAAGGATATATGGCGATACTCTGTGGCTCATTTCATCAAAAATACAGAGGAATCAGGATTTTCTCTCACTGGAAATCCAGTATTGATAATGCACAAACTTGTTGCTCCAAGCTGAGCAGAGCTAGCCAGGGTCCTCCCCTGGAGTGAGCACAGGAGGCTGTCACAGATGCACTGTCAGCTGCCAGGGGACAGAGTGTGCAAAATCCCATGGCAAGGACCAGCTTCCATCCTGCCCCTTGTAAAAAGGGTACTTCAGTGGGACCAGAACAGTGGTAAGGCAACTTCCTCAGGACGTGGCACAGAGCTGTCCCAAGGCCAGCACTCCTTCCCTCACACTCTCTCACAGGAGAAGCCCAAGCCCT